CTTTTATTTAATTTATATCTTTAAAATATAGATTATACAAACTTTTAAAACAAAGTTGGAGCTTTTTAAATTAATTTTGCAAACCGAACCCTTTTTTTTTTCTTTAACAAACCAGAAATGCAAACCTAACTTTCAAGTTGCAACTTCCACCAAAAAAAAGCTTTCAAGTTGCAACTTCCACCCAAAAAAAACTTTCGAGTTGCAACTACTAACTTTTTTCACGTGCTCCGAAGTGAAGAACGTACTGGCGATGCTTTTCCTCGAATCACAATAAGTAGAGGTACCAATGAGGGTTTGGATTAAATGACAAGCAGCTTGTTTTAGCTTAAGTAAAGTCTTAAATTCGAGACCTTGTGTACGCAGCAGTTTTTATTGGGAGACTCACCCACCATTCTGATGCGCCACAACTGGTCGAGTCTGGAGTAGTCGGAGCGAAGTCCCGGATACCGAGCGAGAAACCAAAAAAAACAATAAGTAGAGGTGGCAAAATCACATCTCATCTTATCCTAACACGTAAAAAAAGAAGATTACGATCAACAAGTAGTATTTCATCTGTGGCCCATTTGGTTCAATCTGAATGGGTTATAAATCAAACATGGGTCAATTTATGGGTTAATTTATTTAATTTATTTGTTTTTAAAATTTTAAAAAATGTATTTTTAGAAGATAATTTTTTTAAGGTAAAACAACTAATAAATATAATTTTAAAAAATCTAATAAATGGTAATTATTATAATTTATAAAACCTTTTAAATAGAGTTGATTATATTCATTTAAAATTTATAAATCAAGTATTATATACTATATATGAAAACAAAAAAATTAAATGAATTATTCAACATATTCCATAAAAAATAAGTCATTTTACTTAAACTAATCAAATAGAGAGAAGTAAAATTATTAAAAAATAATAATTCTACGTTGTCTTTTACTATTGGCTTTTCTGTGAAAATAAGTCATTTTACTTAAACTAATCAAATAGAGAGAAGTAAAATTATTAAAAAATAATTATATCAAAATTATTATAATTTAATTTTAACAAATTAATATTAAAAATGTAATTAATTATATAAAAAAATTCGATCTACGAGTCAAGTCGTGACCTGTTAAAATCAATACTTATTAATCCATAACTTACATATGACCTAATTTGTAAAACTTGTGACCTGAGTAAACCTAATTTAAACTTGACCCAACTTGCCTGTTCGTCGCCTTTTAAGTCGATAAAGGAAGGGGTCACCCCATTCTCTATGAATGGGAAGCTAACCACAATGATCTGCATTGTTAATTGTCTCTTTCACGTATCAATAGCCTGTGCACTAAATTAGCTTACCTTTCATGTGCTAATTAATTAATAACCTGCGAGGAATGCAGTCGAGTATTTTAAAAATGATGTACATATATACAATCTTATTTTATAATAAAATTTAATAATTTTATGTAACAATAACTACTCTAGACTATATTTTCATCATATAAAACAAGTGAATCAATATATATTTATCTCTTATTTAAAATTATTTGTATTCTGAGACTCTATCACCAAAAAGAATAATATATGTATCAGCTTTAAGTGTATTTTATTTATTATGTAAAAAAGCTTTCTCAGTCCCTAAATATTTTGATTGAAGTCTTTTTTTAAAAAATTTTTTTTTTTGAATTTATCACACTGATATAATTATAATTTCAAACAAGATTATAAATTTAAAATCATAATGAGCTATTAAGTGATATCACATAACAGTATATTATTTTTGCATTATAAATTCACTTATCCATTCACATACTACGCGAGCCAAACATAAAATCCCTTACCTTCACTACAAAGAGACTACCTTGGACTATTTAAACTTCATTTAACAATGCTTTCTACAAATCTATTTTACACAACACTTTATATTAAAAAAAGTTAAATTTATTATTTTTAATTAGTATATATATTTTTATTAATTTTAATTAATATTTTATATACTTTTATAATAAAAAAAGACCAAAATATAATAAAAAAAGACCAAAATACCTACAAAGACAGCCCATAGATTAGTTGGCATTTTGAAATTTTGATTGAAGTTCATTCCTCAAAGCTGGCCCAGTTTAATATGCTAAAGTCGGCCCTATCCAAAGGTTATTGCCTTATCCAAGAGCCCAGCATTTTTCTTACATGGCCCTATCCACACCTGCACCGCCGTGCGCCGTCCCATTAACGCCACATTTCCCGCCGTTAAAATCCCCAATTCTTCCCCTTCCACCGTGGATGTGGATGTGAATGCGGTTGGGGAAATGAGGAGGGCGGTATATTCCGTAAACAAGGTCAAAGAAAGCAGAGCAACCAGGACAGGCAGCAGCCAAATCAAAAACCCTCTCTCGTAGTCGTTTGATTGATTTCTATACTTATGGTTTCAAGTAAAATAAATAAGACTTTACTGAGTTCATATAAAAATACCATATATTGATTGACATACATTTGTGTTTAACACATTATATAATATATTTATCAAAAATTATTATTTTTAATTTAAAATTAAATACAACAAATTTAAAGATATAATAATACATATAGAATGTAACAACTAGATACATTATCTATTTTTATAATATATTATGATTACTAAATTGAAACAAATGTTAAAAAATGTGTTAGTATACCAAATTTCGTTGAAATGTCCAATACATACACAAACAAGAATGCAAACAAAAATAAAAGATACTTTAGGGAAGTAGTTTTGGTTTAGCAAAAATATTCAAGTGAATCAAATCAATTCCTTCACTTCCTACGTGAATTATTTATTACAAAAGAAGAATATGAGCAAACCCCTCTCATTTCTTAATTATTATTTCCTTCAAAATTATAATTTTTTTCGCATCGAGGACCAACTCAGATGCCAGTGAGTTCAAATTGATACTCAATTAGAAACTAGAGAGGGTATTGAGAAAGCCAGCTATCTATCATAGCTACACGTTGTTCTGGTTTCTACTCCGGAGCCGTGTGGCCTGCTCCCTGCAACGCAAAATTCTACACAATCAATATAATTTTATTAATTCTCTTTTTATATATAGTCTCATTTTATAATTGAAAAAGGTGGCAAATTTTTAAGTCAGATTTGCAAGAAAAAAAAGTGTATAAATGCCTATGAAATTCGTTAAATAACTTAAAAAATTAATATGCAAGCAGAATTTATTTAGAAAGATATTTAAATAATTTTTCGTCATTCATATTTTTTTTTCAAATTTATCTGAAAAATACTTTTGTTATCAAAATTTCAAAAAAAAAAAAAAAAAGAGGATAATTGTATTCGGCTTTAAAATTGCAAATGTAAGATAATATGTCTCATGTTCATACATCTTTATGTACCTACAAACAAACAAATTATCATTAGATATCACACTAAACATTATATATATATTCATTGCCAAAACAAAAAGGCAAAATGAAACCTTAGAAAAACTAACCTTGCAACTTGACCCTGAACAAACCATGGCCTCCATTCGTCTTCAATTGTCAGATTCAAGGACTCGATCCATTCGTTTGTGCCCACATATGGGATAATCATGTCATGATCCCCGCTACCATAAAATCAAATGTTTATAATGTTTATGTTGGAGA